GCATCGCCGTTGATGGCCAATCCCTTCATTAGAACCGCAGGACAACTGATGTTCGCGTGGAGCCTGGTGGGAATAGAGTTAGAGACACTGACTTCGTACGATAAGTTGAAATTGGGAGGCAAGAATCTAAAAATGTATCGAGTACTGATGCAACACGTTGCTAGGGATAACTCAGGCTTGAGTCTGGCAAGGAGGAAAGATGCTACCTGTTTCTTGAGGTGGATAATGTCGATGATGACTGATAGTACCATCCTAGCATGTCACCAGAGAGCAATCGGAAGCAAGACGGTGGAAAGGAGAGTCTCAGCAGTCATCTTGAACGTGTACCAGAGTACTGGGATAGAAAAGGAGGATGGTTCTAGGCAGTCTCTAGAGAGCCACAGGAAGTTAGATGAGATACGGAGATTCTACAACAAGAAGTTCGAGGAGAAACACGACGTACACCGTACCTTGGCTTCGTCAGGGGAGTACTTGAAACCCAACAAAAAGGGAGAGTACCAGTATGTGTCTGGAGTGATGGGGATGGCATACAACCCTTTCTTGGACTCGGAAAACGGAGGCGCCCACAGAAACGGAAAACGGTGGCGGAGCTGCTGAAGTTCTGGACAGAGAAAATAGTGGAGATAGACACTGTAGAGAGAGAGAGACCTAGCCTAGGTTTGATTCTCGAGAAGACACCAGAAGTATTAAGTGTGCCGCGCTCAAGTAAAAGAGTCGAACTAAAGATGGGTAACGGGAACGGCATGTTGGCCACGAATCTGGGAGTGGTGTGGAAATTGCTGAGGTCCTCCTGGTATCCACATCCCCATGCGAGCCTGATCGAGGAAGTCACGGAGCGAGTGAGACTAGCACCGACAGAGGATAAAGATTTGGCGACATTGAGTATAGTGCATAGACTCATCCTGCCTCAGGTGAAGGAGTCAAGTGAAGTGACGAGTGGACTAGGGTCGGTGAAGAAAATGGAGCCGGGCAGTTGTCTTGATTCGACGTGTGGGAATGGCGAGCACACCTGCGATGGACAATCATTCGTCAGGATACAGTCTTTCCAGAAAGAAGACCTAGTCACCTGGTTTGAAGACATTACCGAAAGGGAGAAGAGTGAAATACAGATAGTGGCTGAGTGTTACGCGAGTACCACGGTGAACCTAGCAACAGCTCTGGGATTCTTCTCAAGAATGTGCAGTCTCCAGTCACTGGAGAGGCTAGAGTCAGAACACCACTTGGTGACCGCGTTCAGCGTGGAGTCATGGCCCGGGTTGTTGCAAGTGACCCAGAAACACATCAAGAGTTGGAAGGTTGGACTTGAAGCGGAGATGGGATTTCCCATGAGCGAAGCCTATGGTCTGCCTCTAAATGCGAAGTCCTTAAGGGGGTTAGTGATGGCCAACCTATGTGGCAGCCACTATCCATTACCCATGGCGATGGTGGAAGTATCCAGTCAAAGGGTATTGATAGACAAAGCCTTCTCAGTGCCCAAATGCGTAAGACTGGCTCGGATGTCGCATCATTCACACAAGCTGTTAAGGAAGATCTGAGGGACAGTGCCGAAGGAGCAGAGGGACGACTTGAGCGAAATCTGGGGTGAAGAACTTCTGGGTTTGGGGGGTGAAAACACAAGTGACCACGAGAGACAAAACGTGATCGGGAAACCCATGGTTGGTGCTCCAAACCTGGAAGAGATCGACGCGATACACGAGAAAATGATGTAACTTGAGCCTCTCCTGGAAGCCTCGGGAGAACGCAATCTTAGGAGCATCGACCTCACACATGGGGATTGTCCGTGCCACTGTCTGGCGCAAACAGTGTGGTATCCAGACCACGCCAATCTCTGCCTGATCTGGGATGTGGAGGAAATCAGGTCGTTGGGACTGCCCGATCATCAGCAAAAGGTGACCATCTTGGTGGTGAGCACGATGCTGGCCCTAAGATGGATTGAAGAAAATATAGCAAAGTATCGGGAATCGAAGACGCCAACGGCAGAGTCGATTCACGCGATAGATTACAGCAGAAGACTTGAGTTGTTCGAGACCGCATGCAAGGTGTTCGCCATACCAATGGAAGTCAGACACGTATGGAGCCGCTTAAGGTTCTTTCCTTGGTTTCGCGCGACGTTAACGTCCTGGTTATACATGGTAACGAAGGATCACATGAGGAAACATCAAAAGGAATATCGACAGTTCCAGGCCGAGATAGGACCAGATGCCTTCAAGAGACCTCTGCTGACCCATCAAAATGCGATCACGACGGGGTGGAAAAGAGTGGGTAGAGTATCCAGAAACAACACTAGAGCGAGGGAGTCGATTTTAGAGGAAGACCTGGCGAAGAATGTAAGCCTGAGTCTTCACAATTCCTTCTGTTTGAACCGAGAGTCGAAGGTGAAGAGCTTACCGAATCAAGCGAAGAGATTGCAGGAGCAAAGGGAGTGGATGCGATCCTATGAACAGCTGAAGGCTTGGGAGGAGATTGTGATCAGCTCCGATGATGAAGAGGCACTATTGAAACAGATCACAGTGTCAAATATATCTGGGTCTGGTACCTCGAAGGCGAAGAACACGAGGTGAGCCGGTGGCTCAAAAGGAAATTCTAGAGTCTTGAGCCTTGAGAGGGAGGGGGCTCGAGGGTGAACTCGGATGAAATCTGGATTCACCAAAAAGAAATTTTAACAAATGAGATATTGTTATTAATATGCTATATCTATTATGCTGCATGCAATTTCCTGATTGAATAGGACAAAAGAAATTTTAAATTACCAGCTTAAAAAGCGAGAATTCATAGGTGCAAGTGTGTGCAGAGTTTGATTGCTGTTTAGCGATAGTGTGAAAATTTTATATGGTTGTGAATTTTGGAAGGTAGATAAACTTAAGTCTGCTGCAAACTTCTGTAAATGACCACTGGCACTGTATCTTGAGTGACACTCGGGTTTCTGGGGATTCACTGACAGAGGCAGCACGCGATGAGGACATCGATCTTGAGTCCGGGGAGTATTTGCCAGTCGGTCATATCTGGAAGTTTGACCTTGAGGGACACGAATATACGTGATTTTGGAGTGAAGTTTATTTTTCAAAATTTCGAATGGAGCCTGTCATGCTCAGTTTTCTCGCAACAACTGAAAACACAAAATGAAAAATCAGAACGACCGAATTTACAATAGCGGGAAAGTACTTAAGAAAACAGCAGGAAATTGCTATTTGCAATTTCCAGATACAAAATAAGACACGAGTAGAGCCGTCTTATCCTGAAATAGGAGACAAGATAATCCCGAGAGAAGAATACAATTATTCGAACTGAACTAGAGTGAACCTTCAACGGAAAGGTGGACAGCTGGAGTGTCCCAATGGTTCAGACTAAAACTTCAATGCTAGAGTCAAAACTTATTTCCTTTATTAAAACTGATTAGTATTGAACTACTCAAGTTATTTTATTTAATTCTCGAGTTGCTCATCAATTTAATTACTCCCTATTCTCGAGTGTGTCGACATATGAGTTCCAAATTTAGTTTTCTCGAGTGTGTTTTATGATTGTTATGTTGAGATAAGGCGAGTTTTAGGTTGATCCATCTGAAATGGATCAAAGTTCCACTGTCCAATAAAAAGTAACTTAACGGATTGTTCCGACCCTGTTTTTAACGGCGTTCGTGTATTTTGGGTATCTCGAGACCTAAGTATGGGGACGTTCTTATTTTCTAGAGTGGGGGGGGATATTTTGGTAGTGGCCTTTAAGCTGTAACGGGTTCTAGTCTCATGTCGCAAGCGAACCAAATTGGCTCCGACCGTTCTTGAGGTAGAAAAACACAAGAGATAGTGTCCCTGACTCTTGAGCCAATGGTTATAGACATAGTGCCTTTTTTTCTTAAGCCTCATATGTGACCAAAGTAGGCGACTTTTACACAGTTTTGGAAGATTAGCAGCGTTATTTGGACGATTGGACGGGTCGTGAAGGTCGAGGGATTCTGAAAAAAAAACGGAAGAAAATCAGAACAACAATAGTTGCAGTAGAAACAACTACGAAGAAAAAACGACAGATAGAATTAGAAATTGTCAGAAACCGCTCCGAGTTGTAACGATTGTGCCGCTACAATCGTTACAGAGCAATTCACACGAACGAGGAAGGTTGTTGGGACGACGTGTCCAGCGTTCCCAAAAGAAATAAGAACGTTATTTCCCCGTATTCCAGAATCCGCAGGGGTCTCGGGCCCAAAACTCAAACTGTTTCATAGAAACTTTTAGCTTCCTGGTCATGTCCTGAATTGAATTAAATTAACATCCAGATTCGTTTTCAGATAATGAGAAGCTAGGAGTTGAGGGAAAGGGTTGATCCATGATCCATCTTCGATGGAGATGATGATCTTTATCTACTGAACAAAAACAATAGTAATATAGTAAGTAGCAGTAGCCCTGTTTTTAGGAGTGACCTCGTGGTCTGGGGATACTGAGACCCAGCCATGAGCTCATTATTCTTGCATATAGTTGACTTAATTTGAGTGTTTTGACCGAAGCCAGAAGCAGTAACGTTTTTGTCGACCCGATGTTAGGAAAACCACCAAAAGAACTGGCTTTGGCAGAGACAGTAAAAAGCATGTAGAGCTGTGTTAAGACGCTAGCCAGTCGTTTTAGAACCTAGCTTTATTTTCCGTCGATATGTACTTCCGGGCGAATGTTACATATCTGGCGTGTGCTGTATGGAACTGGCTTGTTCCATCCTCGCTAGGATTGTCATGGAAACGTTAGGGCCTATTAAAATTTTTTCAAAGAAATAAAAAGAAGATCTGTTGATATCGTGTTTTGAGTTCTACTCAAAATGTAGCCCGAAGCATAGTATCAAATTACCATTCACCATTTAGTTTTTCCTTAGTGGCGGAATATAATTTGCTGGGGGTCTATAATGGGTAAAAACCTCACTTAATTTGTTCAAATTATTTTTCATCAATCAATTTTTTTGACCGCACTGCTTTTTTCGATGTGCTTGATGTTAACGCTTGTTTAAATTAATATATCATTTTATAGAAAGATTTGAACAAATCCAAAGATGCCTCTTGCTCGAACTGAAATGTGGCAACAGAATGACACTGTTCCTCTGGAAAGTTTGGACGAGGTTCCAATGGACGTAACATATCAAGGAGGCGCTGATTCAAGTCTTGGTAGTTCAGGTATGGAACACCACATGACGAACTCCAGTATGGACAGTACTTCTACTCGCTCATTGCAATCAGAGCATTCAGTGACCACGACAGAAATCAATATATCTGACTATCTTGGTGGACATGTGAAGAAAGCTGATCCTTCTCATTTTTTAATGTTAAAAGTTCTAGGGCAAGGATCTTTTGGGAAAGTGTTTTTAGTCAAGAAAAAGCCTGAATATGGAGCCGATGGGGATCATCTTTACGCGATGAAAGTTCTAAAGAAAGCTACCTTAAAAATTAGAGACCGGCACAGAACGAAGATGGAGAGGAATATTTTAGCTGAAATCGACCACCCTTTCATTGTGACATTGCATTATGCTTTTCAAACTGAGGGAAAGCTATATCTGATTCTGGACTTTCTTCGAGGAGGAGATCTTTTCACTCGACTGTCAAAGGAGGTAAGAAGTTTCCATTTTCATCGACCGTTCATTTCAACATAAATTGCTGTAATAGTTAAACTTTTTCATTGAATTTTTCAAAGCTCATGTGAATCTATATGGGCGACTATTTAATCTTGAGTTGAAATTTGACGTTCAATCTCACCTTCTCTTTGAAATGACCAATGGTAAATTATCTTCGGGTTACGTAGCAGTATTTAGTCAACCGCGTAATCATACCCGTCGGTAAGCAGACAAAAAATGACGAATCAGAATGGAGACAAGGAATAAATTAATAATTATTTATTTCTTAAGTTTGCTTTCTCATCTCGATTCTGATTGGTTAAAATAATATCTGTCTGGTTACTGACGAGTATGAATATGCGGTTGTCTAAATTCAGACCGCACTCCATATCTTCCATAGCATGTGTTGATATAACGTTTTTATTCTGCATTGAAGTTTTTCAAATCAGAGCGTGCAAAATATTTTTAGCAGAAAATTTTTATCGAAAATTCAAATTGCAAGTCCTAAAAATTGTTAAAACAATTTTGCGTTTAAGATTTTGTCCGACCAATTTCTTAGATGGGACTGAACAATGGCGTTTGGTGGGTAGTTTTCCGCCCAACTTTGACTACTTAGTATTCAAATGGGACTACTTAGTAACATTTTTGAAAAGTTACGGAAGACGAAACCTCTTATCATCGACGCGATAAAACGACTTCTTCCTAAACAAAAACAAAACGACATTGATACAGTTGTTGCCCTCTCTAAACTACACCCCCCTCCGTCTCTTGAGCTGAAGTTGCTCAACAAAGTACTTTCGAAACGTCACAACCTTCGTTCACTAGTACTTCAGCAAAGATCAAAATCCAGAGTACGGCCCACCAAATCAAAGAGAGCAGCAGCAAAGAAAAAACAAGCAGCCCAATCCTCATCGCACTAGTTCTGGTGAGTCTGATTTTCTTGAGACTATTCTCTCCTGAGGTTTTTATACCTTGGAGTATCAGTCCAAGGGAATCAAAAAAACTCAATAAGTCTTCTCTAGTCTGGTTTTCTCCTGAGGTTTTATACCTTGGAGTGTCAGTTCTGAGAAGATTTTTTTGAGCAATATGGGCTCAGAAGAAAGACGCAGAAATGCTAGCGTCTCGCAAGCATCTGAGAAATCTTGTAAAACATGCAAAAAGCCGATCACAAACAAAAGTCAAATCTTTAATTGCATTGCCTGTGGCGATGTTATGCACATGACAAAAACATGCACTGGAATATCTGAAACTGCCATCCTTGGAATTTCGGAGATCAGCCAGAACGTCCTCCTGCTCTGTAACTGTTGTGTTGGAAACAATAGGAAAGAGTCGATGATCAACGATTTGATGCAAACCCGTCCATCCATTGCTGAAACAAAACTAAATGAAATCGCCGAACAATTCTCTACTTTTAAACAAGAGATAGATTCACTTAAGCAAAAGATAGATGAAACAAGCAAAAAACCACAAAACAGAAATGAGCCAAAGCAACCTGCCTTAAACAAACCAGAATCAAGCTATAACGGAATCCGGATAAGAGGACTGCTTGAACTGGGCTCAAAAAGTTCAAGAGATAGACACGAACACGACTTGGAAGAGGTGAACAAACTGTTTGCGTTCTTAACAGTTGAAGCAAAAATCACAGATTTAAAACGTTTAGGAAAATACGAAGAAGGAAAAAGGCCACGCACAATAGTTGTAAATGTTTCAAATGAATGGCAAAAACGACTGATACTAATGTCCTTGGCAAAATTGAAAAACTACGACAAAACTGTCTTTGTGTCAAAAGAGCTCAGCCCAAGTGAATTTCTGATTGAGAACAAACTTCTTATGAAAAGACGAACAATGATAGAAACTGGAGTATCAGCTAAAAACCTAAGGCTAAGGGACCTTGTCCTTTACCAATATGACGAAGAAAGTGGAAATTGGAAAAAAGTCGAAGAAAGCAATTGACTACCTACTGCCAAGTATTTAAAAATGTTATGCCTAAATGTCAGAAGTATTTTAGACATCAACAGAAGAATAGCTCTTTCAAATGCCATTTTACAAACAGACTACGATATACTATGTCTCACAGAGACATGGCTGGTAAAGGAAATACCAGATAAAGCTCTGCATTTGGCTGGTTTTAATATAATTCGCAAAGATAGAAAAAACTCCACTTTAAAAACCAATCACGGAGGCGTACTCATGGCGATAAAAGAAAATGTGCATTACGAAGAAATTGATGCTCAAATAGAAAATGAAGAATGCATAGTGGCCAAACTAACAGGTGAAACTGGGCATCATCAAATACTCTGCTGTGTTTATAATCCCCCGAAAAACAGTAAATACCAATGGAAACAACAAAACTTCATCAGTTTGTTCGAAAACCTAACAAAATTACAAATACAACACAACTGTAACGCAGTGTCGATTACGGGAGATATAAATTTTGAATACACTCATTGGAAAATGATGCACTCAAAGGACAAATATGAAAATGCAGTGTTAAAAAAGCTCATTGAACTTGACTATGAACAATTATTCGACTCCAAAAAAAAGCAGCTTGATGTTTTATTAACAAACAACTCTGGAGTAATACTCAACTGGCACACGGACCATTCAGCAACAAACGCATACAGCATCGACAAAGTTTCTTGCTCAGATCATTATGCTTACTCTGCAACAATTAACATGGAAGCCAGTATCAAAGAAATAAACAAAGATGAAAGTCTGGCGTTTAACAGAGCCGATTGGAAGATAATAAATCAAGAAATAAAAGACAAACCTTTCATACCGTATTGTTACAGTAATGTAAATGAGCTCCTTCGTCAGTGGTATGCATGGTTATGGGACAAAATAAAGAACAATGTACCCAAGGTTACATCACACAGATCAACTCTCCCCCCATGGGTGAAGCCAAGTACGTCTCACATGCTAAAAAGAGTACAAACCTTAAAACGGCGTATCGATCGGCAAAACAAACCTAATTTAAGCATTATCCTAAAACACAAAAAACTGGAAAAAAATCTTCAAATAGCATTGACTGCAGATCAAGCAATTTACGAAGAAACAGTAACAAGCAGTAGACGATTCAGTGACCTGCAAAAATACTTGAACAAAATAAGTAGTTCCAGGAAATATCCCCAAAAAATGTTCTACAAGGAAAAATCCACAAGAGATGACACCCAAAAAGCTACATTTTTTAACGAATTTTTCATCAGTGTATATCAAAAGGAATCAATTCCTAACCCTCTCGCACGAAATACAAACTGTTCTCCTACAGAAGAAATCTGTACACAAATACACATTGAAGAAACCAAAATCCAATACATTCTCAAAAATCTTTTAACAAATAAAGCGTCAGGTTTTGATGGTATAGGTAATATAATCCTAAAAAATCTTTCTGAAACTCTGTCAAAATCGCTCTATCTTCTCTTCCGCACATTCATTAACAAGCGGCTCTTCCCGACCTACTGGAAAACAAGTCAAGTGGCCCCAATTTTTAAAGAAAAGAACAAGGCGTCAGTCGAGTGCTACCGCCCAATTAGCCTCTTATGCTCCGCCTCGAAGGTCTTCGAAAAAATTATCTTTGATAATATATACCCCAAAGTTCAACCTTTCCTGGAAAACGCACAATACGGCTTCCGGCAAAAAAGGTCAGCAGTACTACAAATGGTACAATTTTTGAGCAAAGTATATGAACTCTACGATGACAAAAATGTTCAAACACTCTCAGTCCTTTATCTAGATTTTTCTAAAGCCTTTGATAAAGTTCCTCATAGTATCCTAGTCGCCAAACTACGGAACATAGGTCTAAGCATTCAAATACAAGACACAATACAAGACTATCTAACAGATAGAATGCAGTTTGTGAAAATCAATAAAAGTTCATCAACTCTGAAAGAAGTAACTAGCGGTGTACCACAGGGCTCAATTCTTGGCCCTCTACTTTTTATCATATTCATTAACGACTTTCCCAAATGCATTGAGAATTCAGATTGTTTTGGCTATTGTGACGATATGAAGATCTTGTCTACTGAAGAAATTCATCTGCAAAAAGACACGGCAAATGTTGAAAAATGGTGCAAAGAAAATAAAATGCCGCTGAATGAAGATAAATGTAATTTGTTAAACCTCAAAGGGAAAATGGAAGTTACACTATTTAATACAAATGTTGATACCGCAAAGACCCAAAAAGACTTAGGTATTTTAATGTGTCACAACCTTTCGTGGTCAGTAAATGCTGAAAATCGCATATCAAAAGCAATGGGAGCTTTTTACAAAATCAAACGAAATATCTCGAAAAAAACATCTTTAAAGTCAAAATTAAACTTATACTGCGGATACATCGTACCAATCATAAGCTATGCATCGCAAACATGGTATCCGAACAAAGCAGAATTAAGACAACTAGAAAGAGTACAAAAACGAGCGACATCTTGGATTACAAATAACTTCAAAATGAGTTATACTGAAAGACTGAAATTTTTAAAGCTCCTTCCACTCTCAATGTACTTTGAATTACACGACATATTGTACTTAGTTTCACTACTAAAAAATAAACATGACATTGATTTGAATACAATTATTCATAAAAACGAATCACGAACGAGACAAGCAACACGTGGTGAGATTGCTGTTCATGCAACAAGACTGAAAAAGTCAAATGAAAATTATTATATACGTTCTATTACGCTATACAACTACTTTAGCCAAATTGTGGACTTCGAAAATCAAGATTATGACAGCCTGAAAATATCTATAACAAACACGTTTTGGAAATTCTTCAACAGAAATTTTGCAGAAAACAACTTGTGTATGTGGAGAATTCTTTGCTGGTGTGGAAACTGCAACCCACCGGGAAAAATTATGAACTTATAAACGAGGGTTCAAAACCCATGGAGAAATCCTAAAGCCTACACTACTACTACTACTACTACTACTACTATTGGGTTGAGCGACGTTTTATATCGAAGTCCTTCAAGTGACAATTCGGATTCCACAAAAAACTT